TCATGATTCCTAACTGAGGCAAAGACTTGCTCATACGACCCTGCATGAAGCACTCCAATCCATTCAGGTATTTGCATCACCTGTAGATCCCTGGACAGTCGCGCGGCTCTCCTCAACAGAAAGGTTCGCCCTGTGCCCAAGGTAGGGTCGGTTGTATCCCAAACATCGAAGAGATGCACAACTTGATTCTGTTCAGGATGTTGGTTCTCGGTGGCTATAACATGGATGTTTCTGAAATCTGCATGCATATTCCCTGGCGGTTGCGGCAACTTCGGCGTCTTGAAGAAGTCTGAGGTTTTCCAGTATGTTCGGAAGTCTCTTGCCCAGTTGCCATCCGCTAGGTGAAGGTAGTCACATTGATTAGTGACTTCCGCCATCGGGTGCATCCTCCAAATAGCAAGTGTAATCTGCCTCTCCCCAGAGTAACAGGGAAGGTCAGAAATCCATCTTCTAAGATCATCACGCTTGACAAAGTTTTGCGTAGCAAAGTTGGCAATTTCATGCATTGGTTTCTTGTGTTCAACTGCATATGCAAACCTCGCACTAGCAATAGTAACTGTCTGATATTCTGTGAGTTGCATGAGATTTACTGTATCCACATCCAGGGTTGCAGTGTTATCCCTGTAGACACGGAGGCGAGCTGCTCTCCACCGAAGACACACATCGTCTGTGCCTTTCGGCTGTATGGAGATTACTTCTCCTTTCCGCCAGATTCGGTGTGACACTCGCTCATGAGCTCTTCTGACAAGATGCCACATCCTCAGTGCGCATGCGCAGAAATCAGCTCTGAAGCCCTTGCTTTGGTGTATTAAAACAGCAGTGGGCCCATGTGTCTCAAAGACAACAAAGTGGAAAGCGATCCCAAAAGTGTGACGGTCAGGCTGTGGTCTAGCAAGCTCAAAGGAGCAGGTACTTGGAGGCAACAAATCAACCCAAGCCTGGCAGACTGCTTCACGGATGTTACCTAGTTGTTCCGGCATGACAGTAATGTCTCTAGCATGCTCGTTACATCCATCCGGCGGTGCGTACCAGACCTTGGCATGAAGCTGTCTGCTCTCAAAGATTACCTCATTCAAGTCCTTAGTTTTCAAAATTGCTTGCAAAGACTGTTCGACATTGTGATGACTTGGTGCATGAATGTCGACAAAATCGCCCAAAACTGATTGGCCCTGTACAACGTATTGGTCGAGGCTTCCGTTTGTCGGCAAACCTCCAACTTCAACGGACAATAGACCATGACCTTCTGCGTCCTGATGACGGACTGGTTCATTGTCCCTACCCTCACAAGGTCCGGAAGGGTAAGCGCTATCTGATTGGAGAGGGTTTCTAGCCTCTGGTAGGGCACACTCCTCTCTTCCAAGATCTGACAGCGGGATGTTTTCATCTTCAGTATATCTAGTAACATTCTGCATCAGAATTCCATACTCATGAGGTGTGACGTGACATGTTAGTCCCCGCATCTCTGTAACATCCGAACTGATGGGTCTTGGCCTACTTGGCTGGTCTTCAACTATAGGATAAACGTCCCTTTGAGACCTGTTCGTGTTTCCCACATGTTCGCTGGAAAGAACAGTATCACCAGCTATCGCTATAGGCTCGTTGGCATTCTCATGAACATCTTGCTGCATCATGGACAACTCATCTGAAAACCAGTGAGACTGGCTGTGACGCATATTGTTCACATCATTATGGTCAGCTTGTATCTGAGTATGATGGATGCTGACCTGCTGTGTTATTGCCTGAAGCTCGCCGCATGCATGCGCACTGACAAGGTTGAGGCACAAAACTAATCCGGTCAACGACAAGTTTCTTCGGAACCTCAGGCGAACCCCTTTCCTAGTTTGGCCAACTCGAACAGAAGGCCCTATGCAATCCCTTCGAAATCTGATGTAAGACCTGCAGCATGCAAGGATCAAGATCACTAGGCAAATGAGGACAACAGCACAGCCTAATCCGTCCCATTTGCTTCCCCCATTCCTGCTGACTGTGCTCATCAGATTTACAAAAGTAAGAGACTCAACGGAACCGGCCAAAAAGGATACACATGCGGCATTCCTAAGCTCGATTCTCCTTCTCGGTCTCAGGCTATAGCAAAAACTGAGTTGCTGGATTCGGTACAGCAAAGAAGAGTGCAAAAACAAACAATGCAGTACGAGCACCAGACCACAAATTCCTAGCATCCTGACATATTGTGCCTCGATCATGACATCATCCCATGTCGGCTCAGGCCAGGTGCTATTGTGCATGCGAAAAATCTGCTCATGTTCCTTGGCCATATTCTCTTCTGGGCTGGAGATAGTACTATCAAGTCTAGAGCACAGATTCGCACACGAAAAAGTCGATTCTATGGGATCAATAGTGAAGAAGTGTCCGACGGCAGCTGTCAAATGGCATGCACCTGTTCCAGCCAACTCTTCATCTGTGGTCCATGAGTGAATCACAGCAAAAGGGAAGTCGCCTGTCAGCCCTTCAAAATGGGCGCCAGAGTCACTCCACTTGCTGTGCTGTTGTGTCATCGGAAATACAACGTTTTGAGAAGGCAGCTCACAAATGTTCTGCTCTCCTCTATTGTGAAAAACATTCCACCAGAAAGCCTCCCAAGGCACAGGTAGAAAGCGAAAAGTAGTGCCACTGCATCTGCCACCCGTCATCCAATTGAAATCGGCGCCAGTGTAGGCATGTCTGCAGTAATTCCCCATTGCATCTGGTCCACTTGGGCCGCCAATACCAGCTAGCCCAACTTGTTCAACTCTTGTGAGTCTGCTCCTCCCGGCTCTGACCTTCTGGGACTCCTTTCCCTGTCTTCGTCCAACCTGAAGGTCGGGATCTGTGAGGGATAGGTCGGCCCCGTCTTCTCTATCGCATTCAATCTCTGCTTTCTGAGATCTGAAGGACTTGCTGCAATGCGGGGCTCTGAAGGCATTGGTCCATGAGCCCCTTGCCCCACATAAGCATTGAACTGCGTCTGGAGCAAGGCTAGCATTCTCGCAGTGTTGGATTGTTCCCTTTGAGCCAATAGAAGCTGTTGTTTTAGCTCCCTGTTGGTGGCTGCATCCATATCCATGGCGTCTGCTCCTTTCACATCTCTTGTGGCAGCATCGATGTCGAGTTCTTCGATCTTGTCCATGGCCTTCTGGATTTCCAGATCGATGCCTTCCATGTCGCTCTTGAACTTCTCCTGTTCTGCGTCTTGATGCTTCTTGAGCTCTTCCTTGTATAACGTCCATGCTCTGGTCTTCTCCATCTTGGCCTTCTTCAATCTGGAAATTTTGGCCACTAGCTTCTTCCTCAGGTTGAGGTCCTTTTGTTGGTTCTTTAAATCTTCTTTGTCGTCGTCTTCCCCAACGATCTGCTGAACAGCTTTGACTAGACTCCCATCGGATGCATTGGATCCAGATGTTGACTTGATAGCCTCCTTTAAAGCTGTCCTCAACTCCGAGACAGAGGGCTGTGAAGACGATGAGGACCTGAGCGAGTCGTATCCAGGGAAGATCTGCTTGTCTTCTTCTTGATCTTTGTCCTTCTTCTTTTCGCCTTTCCTCTTCGGCGGCGTTCCCCATATGTTCCAAGATCGGCCTTTGCCCTTGGAACCTTTTCCGGTGGCCTTGCCACTCCATTGCCACTTCCATGACATCACCTGAAAAGCTCTTCTCTTCAGGGCCTCTGTGCGCTGTTTAGTCCACGAGTGATGTCGATGGAGATGATGTAGTGACCTGCGGAACTTGGAAGAAGTGAAATCACCTTTCGCTATGGCCACTCGTAAGTGCAGTCTTGACCTTGATCTCAGCTTCCGCAACTTACGGTGCCAATTGGGTGAGCGAGGTATGTTGTCAGCTTTCGTATACCAGTCCGCCACCACGGGGATTACCACCAAGCTATGGCTCCACCGGCAAAGGCGCTAGGCACGGGACAGTCGACCTATCGAACCACGTGGGTTCTGGGGCTCTAAAATCGCACACTTCGTGCTCTTTGAGCCCTACAGTCATAATACACACAGTCATAATCATTATGTACTATCATACACCTTCGTCATTCTTTGTCCAGTCAATACAGTCTGTGGAAGGCGACCGGCGGACGGGCGGACCCAGGGACAGCGGTCGTAGCCTTGGCTCGACGGTCTGTCCCTTCTCTCGGTGCCGTGCCCCGCACCGAGAGCATGGCACAGGCGCAGCGGTTTGGAAGCATCGCGAAGGGCTCTGGGTGGACCGCAAGGGGACAATGGAAGAGATGTGGGTGCCTTTTTTTGCACCGGGGATCATGTTGGTGAGCAACAAACAATATCTTAAAGGTCTACTACAAATTGGACTACATGTCTCATGCCTCTTCCTACACTCTGCAGACGATGGTTTCGCCTTCAGACGATGTCCTTCGGCACTTCAACACCCCAGGAAATCTGAGTCCCCAGGTGTTGAAGAAAGCCACATGGCAGGTTCACCACACTCCTACTGCTCGGCTGACACTCCTAGCGCTGCTTGGAGGTCTTCAATGCCATAGCAGAGGGCCTTGTGACCAGTGTGGAGTTGGACGAGGCGAACGGGTCCCTCTTTTTCGGGCGATCTGAATGGCGATCTCCTGGCACAGCAAGCCAGTCTTACAGGAGGGTTGGGTTAGTGCGGTCATTTTCACCCACTTGTCTTGTGCACATCTTGGGGACTTGAGGAAGAACCTTTACGGCAACAGATTCAGGACTTTGAAAGGACATGGAGAAGGTCTTCCCATGTCTTCCCTCACCCCAGTGGCATCACCTTTCGGATGCAGCGTCACGCACCCCTCGCTTCTGGTCGCTTCCAATTTCGCTTCGGATCTCGCTACACGCACTGGGCCAAACACAGTCTGCACCGTGGGCAGCACAGAATTCACTGAGCACCATGAGCTAAAGCACTGAGCACACCCAGTCTGTGGGTTTCCACAGTGAAGAGGCACGTGGTCTTCCCAAGGCCTTCGCGCACTTCCTGGAGAGCCCCGGCTGGCGTGAGCTTCAGACCCGCACGGCACGACGGATGTGCTCCTTGGCGATGGGAGGGCTCCTGACATCGACCATCGAGACGTGGCCACGGGGTAAGGGAGTAGTGATCAAGAAAGAACGATTTAATCGGCACTTGGCTGCGAGGATTGGGGAACCCGTGCCTTATTGGTTTGCCCAGGTCGTTGGCTTTGCTTCTCCTCCCCGTTTTTTTTCATCGCCCCCTGAATTTGGGGCCTCTCTCCCAAGTCTGGGAGACATGTTGAGATGGAGCTGTTGCCCCCGTTCCTCGTCGGAGCAGTGGATTTTCGGGGATGGCCAGCACGAGCACCGAGGTGATGGATCCTACACTTTTGAAGGTGATCGCTTCCGTGCTCCCCCAGCCCACCTGTGTCTTGGAAAAAAAATCGCAGACGAATTGGGAGAAGATGATCCCGTGAGCCGTTTTTTAAGTGGTTTTTTTTGGGGGGGTGGAAATCGCCGGCCTGACCCAATGTAACATTCAGCTGACTTGCGGAGGCGAAGGGTTTTGGCCAAGAGTGCGGATGCTCTGCAGATATCTAGCTATTCCTTCGAAACGAAGGGTTCAGACATTCCAGCGAACATGGAAACGTACCAGCCCAGACCGCTGGCAAGGCAGTTTTCTCAGAACCTCATCCAGAAGCTGATGCCCAGCTGCAGTAGGACGTGGGGGCAGTTTTCTTTGGGCAAAGAAGCATGTCATTTGACAAGTGCTTGTGGTGGCCCGGCCATGCCTTCCTCATCTATATAAAGCAACTTCCACCGTCTAGTCGTACCTTGTTCTCATCCACTTGGGCAACCTCTGACTCCTCTGAGGATTGATCACCTCCAGAGCCAGAATCCGAATTGCGAAGTCATCCCCTTGCAGGTCTTCTTGCTGCTTGACACTGAAAGCGAAGCGCGATTGAGTGCGGAAGAGGTTTCAGGCCGTCCCAAGGTTCCAGGGAGGCACAGGCTAGCATAGATCTTGGAGATACCAGGATGAAAGAGTGATAGTAAATGATAGCCGTCAGTGATCAACCCTCATAAACTAATTAGAACATTATATTTATATACTTATATGGGGTTGGGAATAGAGCCACTACAGTTTAGAGTTGCTTAGCAGCATGTCCAGTGACACGATGACTTTTAGGATCAGTTTTTGCTTTACCCTTGCTTGTTGTTGTGCTGTTGTCAACTCATGTTTGCCTCAAACATGGGGCTTTGGACGTTCATGACTGTTAGTCAAGTGCCGAAAAGTTCATGGTGTGACCGTCAGCTTGTCTGGATGCCACAAGTTCATTTCATATCGGGCTAAAAGCCGCTGAAACCGAAGTCGGATTTGTCCTTCATCGGTTAGTCCTGAGTGTAGCGATGCCTGTGGTACACAGGTGCCTCTACGAGGACGGCGAGGACCGGGAACGGGGGATGGGGAGGGATGCCTGGGGAATGCAACATTGGTGGTTGGATGTTATTGGTATTTGCAGTCAACACTGACAGGTCTTTTGAGAGATGTGTTTACGATGCAGACGTGCATTTTGCGCCGCATGGACATGAGCGGAGAAACAAGGGCAGAACGCAGCTGGAGACCGCATGCTGGACCGGGCGAAAAAGCCCAGTGACGCAGCCAGGACGCCTGTCCCAATCACGTCCACGACTGCCGGCAGCTGACGCTGTCGTTGGGGGCGCAACGAGAGGTGGCCGTGGAGGGTCGACGGATGCTGATGAGGCGAGGTGGGGCGCTGTTCGGTGTCGGAACGGTACCGTGGCCATGTTCGGTAGGATTGTACAAAGGCTCCAAATGGGTTCTGAGAGAATGAAGCGGCTGCAAAAGGAATTGGACTTTTTCTGATTCTGTGGATTTTTGTCCTCGGATTGATGCATATTGGCTGGTCTAGGTTGAAGGGTTGGGGCCACGTGTCCCAGGCCTCTACGTGTGATGCGTGACCCGCCAGGCATGGAGATGTCTTGATTTTGGATGGAGAGCGGCGTCTGGGCGCGATCGATGTCTCGGGCTAGGTTTCACATGGTTTAACATACTTCAGCCACATGTCCTGGAGTTGTTTAGGGCTAAGCGGCTAATGATCAATCAGGGGTCAAGAACACAACATCAGCTGTGCTTCACGCGTCTTCATCACTCGCTCGTTCAATGAGAGTACTGAGTATTTCTGGTTCGTCGAGCCGTGAGTTCTGCAACAGCCGTCTGAGCCGTGGTTGCAGGAGGTTGTTCTTCGGAAGAGGAGTCAGTCGTTGGACCACGGTGGATTCCACATAAGTGTGTATTTAATTGATTAAGATAGGGAGACCTCTCAAAGCCTCCCTGAGGAAAGAAGAGCAAAACCATCCAATCCCCGGTTGGGAGTCTCCCTATTAAAATACACACCCACATGAGAGTCCAAACCTGCCCAGAACCACTACCGGAGATCGGTAAGCCACCAGAGGTAGATCATGGTCTGGGCAGTGAATTTGGATGGGTGGGCCGATTTCACCTCCATGGTGTGAGGAGTGAAGTGGGACCAAATCGAAGGTACGGTACATGAAAGCGATCGGCGACTGGGGGACGAAAGGGTGCCTCTATGTTGGGGGACTGGGGTGCCTCTATTTCGCAGCCACTGTTTGTTTCTGGTCATGTTCTTTCAGATCTCCAACGGTCTCTTTGGCGCCATCGCCCGACCCCCTGAGATGCACTGCTTCCCTTTGCCCTTCACATCGTAGAAGGCATACCCAAAGGGTGGCCTGACCATAGCGCCCGACCCCCTGAGGCATGGAGTCCCGGCACTGCAAGAGAGGCCGGCGGTTTCCATGACCTCGGTGGGTGGTCGGGTTTGGTGGAGGAAGACGAGGGCTTGGTGGAGGAAGTGGGCCAAACAGGACATATGTTTTTGGTCCGTCCTTCGCCAGCCAAGTCAGCAGCATTTGCGGCACAAAGTCCCCTCTCAAGGCCCAACTTCCTTTCGCCAGGTCAGGCACGCTGCATTCACAAAAACGCTTCCTAGACCTTTTGCTTCACAAAAAAGCGCAGGACAAGTCAGTCCCGAGTGTCGGTGAACATCTTTTTCACCACCAGCAATGATGCTTCTCGTCCAGTGAGTGCCACCAGGCTGCACTGGTTGCACTTATACATACTTATACCAGTTACCAGGGCTGTCACAACATCAACAGCTGTGGCAGGTGGATCTACTGACATGCTTTGTGCATTTGTGGCATCCGTGTTTTCAAGGTAAATCATCGAGCAGGTGCTGGTTACCAGATTCTTGGCCATGAACACTTCGGGCATGGCCAATTTTGGACGGACCAGACTGGTGGGATGTCCACCCTGAGACCAAGTTTACTGGTTTGGAAGGAGTTTTAATGAGTGTGAGCAATTCAAGGGGAATTCATAGCCCCATGCTCAGTGGGAAAGCCAGGAATTCTCATTTGAGCTACGACTCTAGTGGTGGTTGCAGCCATCCCTTGTGCGTCGGATCGCAAGTGCATGCATCCAGTATAAGGGGTTTTCTACCTAAACTCATTACTGTGGCTCATTTGACTCAGGATACTCAGGCTTTTGTTGAACGATGTTGGCAGATTGGACCTCAGCCAAGGACGACGGGCCGTGGCAAAGGTCGTGGCAAGAGCCAAAAGGCTTCGCTGCAGGACAGCTTTGATGTTTTGATTTGGACCAGACACTTCTTAAACCACTTTCTAACCTGAGCCTCACCTCAACAGAAGCAAGGTTCCTTCGTTTCTCTCGTTTTCGAGGGCTTTTGGTGGATAATGTGCAATGCATTGTGGGTATTGACCAGTCCATGGAGGTCCGATGTTTTCTGTTTATTGCACTCGGGGCTTCCTGTGATACTCAGGAGACTGGAGCGCAAGGCACTGCTCGCCAAAACCGCTGCTCAACAGCATTCGAGGGATTTTCTTAAATGCCAGGCAATAAGCACACCGTGACACAAATTCGCATAGCATATCATTAATTGCTTTTGATTCCTTGATATGGGTTTGTGGCTGTCAAAGGTGTGCTTCAGACCCCAAGCAGCTGAGGTTGGAACCGACAAAGGCACCATGGGCTCATGGACATGGGAGATTCAAGATGGGAACCCACCCGTGGACACAGTTGATGGTTCATGTCCACATAGTCCATTTGCAATAGATCTGTTTCTTTCAAAACATGGAGTCCTAAACCCAAGGATCTGGCTGCCAGGCTTCAAATCCATGGCTCAAAAGTGCATGATGGATCGACATGGGTCAAGATCGCATGGCTTCAAGCAAACACACCCGCAATCCCGGAACATCAGGGATCTCTGTTTCAACATGTAAACAGATCATGAGTACTCAACAGTGACTTGCCAGGTAGTGAGTGGGGCAATGGCCCGCCTGGCCGGGAGCAGCGAACTTCCCACAGACCACCGAGCCGAACGCGAAACCAGACGACGCGCAGACCACGCAGACCACGCCCCGAAGCGGACATCTAGTCCATGCATGTAAGCCAAGACGAAGGGTACACCATGGGGTGTGAAGCATTTACTGTATATCTTTTCAGTACATCGGCCGCTTCTTCTCCGTTGGCGAAACGCAGCAGACCTCATTCTCTGCTGGGGACACGCCGAGTCGCGCCAGGAGTGACACAGCAAAGAGGGACGTGATACACTCACAAGGCGTGGCAAGGAGGGAACCGGACGAGGGATAGGATGGGATAGGGTAAGCCATGGGGGACTTCTTAGATCTGTAAGAAGTACTTGTGATGGACGACCTGCATCAAGAACAGTTGCTGGTTGTTTTGGGTCAAGTAGGGCTTTGTGTTGTGGGGTGTTGGTATCCTGATACCTTTTTGCATGGATTCTTTGCGATAAACGGTAGCTCAACTAACTTCAGGATCATCGGGTGGTCCTGAATCAGCTTGAATCAGCTTGAATTAAAGTATGTTTATTCTTCAAGTTCAATGCATATCCTTTTGAAGACCGTATGGTAGAAGGACTGAGTCTTCAGTATCAACCCTTCATGTCTATCTGGCGTAGTTGGAATCAGTGACTTAGTCCAACAGGATTTATATAGGTTTCTTGCAGGAAGCAAACATTCTCTTGGGATGAGATGCATCCCAATCCTTTCGCGCGTGCAGGGAGGGCTTCTCAGCCAGGAAGTTCCACAACGAGGAGCTCATTTTGGCCCGGTGGGTTTTTGTTCGTCGTCCGGCCGGCATATGAAACGAACGGCCGCAGGAACGCGGAGCGGGAAAGTGGAGAGGAAAGCGAAGAACGTCACAGACAAGGACTATGATTCTACGATGATGATGTGAACGGAGAAATCGAGCTAGAAGACGAAGATGACACTGCTTCTAGATGCTTCCAGTGGTTTACAATGGTTTACATGATTGTTCTGGTGCCAAAGTGCACCTGGGAGTTATCCTTCTTAAACCGGCCATGAACCAAATGCAAGAAGACAAGACCGGATGAACGTGTTCAACTTCTGGTCCAGCCTGCTCGTGCAGCGCTGCGCGCAACGCGCAGCCCATGGGGAACGGCAGTACTCTCCATGCACCCGGACTGACCTGGACATTTCTCTGCTTCAGAAGCTTGGGAAAAGGATCGTAGCTGAGCAGTGTGCATTTGCATGGTGGGGTCGGTCGTGCGTAGCTTCTGACGGCCGTGCGGTCGCGGTCGCGGTCGGTGTCTCTGTTGTTCAGCAGAAAAGGCAGTGAATCGATGAAGGATCCAAAAACACCGCCAACGGTAGTTGAAAGTCCGGGCGGACCAAAATCACTTGAGCATCTTAGCGGTTCAAGAGTACTTCAGAATCCTGAACACCCCGTTTCAGCTTCGAAATCTGCTTCGTCTTTGAACACTTGTTTGGCATCAGCGCTCGTTTGCACCGCTTCAAGGCCGAAGATGTGAAGGCCAAGAAGCCTAAGGTGCGGAGACAAGCGTTGCTTGTGCAGCCTGCGTCTGCCATTGGTGTGTCCAAAATGAAGAGAATCGAAGGAACCAATGACTCATGACCGTTCATGGTACTATTCCCTTCTCCAAAGGTCGTTGGTCTCAGTACTTTGAGACACAGTTTTCATTTCTGATCTGACTTCAATAGGCAAGATGAGCCAGACTTGTACCTAATTTCCATGGGAGACATGGACAGATGCATTGAGTCTATTCCTTATATTGGGGTTATGACTTGGGCACCTCAGATGTTGTTTCACCCCAGGCAGCCTCACTCGTTCGTTGTTTGGTCGATGATGGCAGAAATCCATCCTGGCAGGAACGCGGCCGGAACGCGACCGCGTCGACGTGTGCGCGTTCCGATGGCCGTCGCCAGGCCAAAAGGTCCAAAAGGGCCAAAGGCACTGAGGCGTCGCCGGTCGGGACGATCAACCCGCGACCGGAGGGACGAGAACGAGTCGTTTCGGGGTGCCAGGAAACCGCTAGGCAGTTTGGGTTTTGTATGACGAGCATCTTCAACCCACCAATCTGTAGTTTGTGCAAGGCCGACAGAGATGAATTTTCCAGTGGCCAGAAGGTTTGTCTGTAAGTTACCACGTTGGGGAGATCAGAGATTTGTGGTAGCATGGTGCTGAACAATGTCAACTTCTCCATGTCTTCGGCTTCCGGCTACCAACGACCAAGTAGCCAACCAGTAGTGGTGCGATGCAGTCGGCCAGAAGCGGGTATCCTTCGGCCCCTTATTCTGCGTAAGGGGTCCCCCAGACAGGACTTGCAATTGACTGACAATACGTATGAATCAATGGAAGTCCTGTGTTAAGACTGTCTGGGGGATCCCTTAAGGATACATATGAATATAGTCTTAATGCATCCTTGTGTTGATATAAATCCAATCGTAGTATTGCTGCAAACATCTGGTTCACAGAATCAAACAGCAAGTCTACTTCAGGGGCTTCACTTGTTCTGAGAAGGAAATGGTTGACTTTGCGGGTCCGACCGCCCTTTGCCAGGGCGGACTGGGAAGCTTGCAGTCGGCGTACGATGCGAGCTCCGGTGAGGAGGACAGCTTCGCATCTTCAGATGAAGAGATGGAAGAGAGATGGAAGAGTGGTGAAAGTAGATGTTTTAATGTTTTTCACCAAGGAAGCCCCTAGAAACACCCCGGACTCATGAGTTCAGTTCGCCCACTCCCCTGCCGATGATGACACCAACTGTGGCAGGAGGGCTCCAAGAAAAAGAAGACGAAGAAGGGTCCCCAGGACAAAACTGGGAGACCAGATTCAGGTATTTGCAATCAGCACTGGATGAAGGCAGGATTGGCAGTGTCGTGTTGTGTATAATAATTAAGAAGATGTTTCTTTGGCAATTAGGTAGATGCTTCAATGCCACGCTTCTGTCATTGATGCACAACCTTCATGTGGTTTGATACACCAACGTCAGGAGCAGACATTAGCCTGGCCAATGGAAAGCCCGGCATGCTTGAAAGTCACCAGCCGGAGCCCCTTTGGTGCATCCTGCTGGTTTGCGCAGCTGGGTTTGCTTGGTGAAATTGGAGCTTCCATGAGAAGCCATGGGTACTCCTAGATCCCAACGACCCAAATACATGTTGCCCTACAAATTATGTACAGGGTGAGGAGTTTAAGGTCAGAATATGAGTTGTTTTCAAGTGAAGCCAGGTTCCATGTTGCCACCGCGAGCGAGCTTGTCCCTCTACCCTCGTGGAATCAGGTGGAAGGAGCAGACCATTTCCAAACCGCTTTTATTGGACTTGGAGGATGTTGTTTAAGAAAGCAGGGAATCGGCTAGAGACCCAGAAGCCCCAGGGCACATCGCTGACCAACTCCCTGGTTCGCCCACAAACCTCTGGTTTGCCATTGCCTCGCTGGTGTTTGTTCCCAGCTGGCCATCCCCAAGAGTTGAAGGCTTGTTCTACACCAAGTGCCACCTTAGTATTTGGTGTAGGTTCCCAGCTTCGGTTCGTTTCTTCCCAGCTTCGAAGCTGCTTTGGTGTGAGCATTCTGCGTCCGGTTCTCCCCGAGCGAACGCTCCAAGCGACGCCCGGCAGAGCTGGACCTGGCTGCTCAGCCGCACCCAGCAGCACCCGGAGTTCCGGCCGCGGCTCGGCGGAGACCGGTGGAGACGGGAGTGCCGGCGACACGGCGCTCGGCTCGGCGGATGGCGCGCCTGGTGTGGCAGATCGAACGGACCTAAGAAAGATCCTGTGCAGCTGACAGGGGGTTTCTTTTTGTCTCCAGAACCAAAAGGTGACGACAGGTGCGTGTACGATGATGCACCCATGTGAACACAACTTCTGTCTGGCTGGGAATGACTTTGACCCAGTGAGGACGACTTTGGTGACAGAACCCTGCTGTAGTGTATTTGTTTAAACAGGATACCCACAGAAAAGCCAACCATCCATGCTCAGGTCTTGATAAGCGTTGTTTTAGATCCATGTTTGTGCTAGACCTTGGGCAAAGACAAAAGATGACCAAAAGTAAATCACCCATCGCAGCCATCGCCGTTTCAAGGTTTCCTTTTGGAGTTTTGGAGCGGCGATGGGTTTTCAAGAAGCCACTGCAGATGTGTTCCGAAGCCATTGCAGTGGCTTCTGTGGAAGGATTCCTCGGAGATTGTTCTGTTGAGCCAGAAGATCTGATAGGACACCTGGGAAGACTCCATGAGGTTTGTGCACTTGTTGTGCACGATTCCGAACACCAGGAGCATAGTTATGGATGTTATGGGCCATGTGGTGTTGTCGTTGGATTCCACATTGTCATGAATGGGAATATATACATGGGGAATACAAGCTTGGTAAAGGAGGAAACAACAGTTCGCAGGCATCCACAACTGAAAATCGGCTTTTTGGTGGTGCACTTAGTGCGGATGACATCACTTAGTCCACTGGTCATCCAACATTCTTCAACCGGAGTGACGGAAGCTTTTTTGGGGGGTGCTTGAACACCAGACCGTTTGAGATTTCGATGCTTTGATGGTTCTTCTTCAATTCTCGTATTCCCTGTGAGCTCGAAGTCAATGGAACTGGTGGATCGCCAAGGCCCACCATCTCGTCCACCACGCGGTGGGTGGAGGACGGGATTGGGTGTGGGTGTGGGTATCGAGGGCCGCAGCCACGGCAAGAAAGAAGACAATAGGAAAAGCAATGGGCACTAGGGCAAAGTGGCGAAGCACCTCTGTAAGAATAGTCCCCAAACTGGTAGAGGCAGGGCTTCCGAAACAACTTGATTATGCCTTTTGAACGACACCGCCGCACCGCCCTCATTCACTAAACATCACAGCCAGCTGTTTGCAGTGGGGCTGTGAGCCACTCTGAGGAGACATCAAATGATGATGATCCAGATCAGCCTTTGGACGCTTGGCACATGTGGGGGCAAGATGGGATGAGAAACAGATCTTTATTCAGGTGATG